CGGTCCGACCCAGGTGCCCCCGGGTACCGGGAGCGCAGCCGGGCCGGGGGAATTCCGCGCTCTGCGGAGCCCGCCGGAGCCGTGCGGGCCGGTAAACCTACGGGGCTGCCGGGGCCCGGCGGCGCTGCCCGCCATCCCCGTGGCAGCAGGAGCCGCCGCTCCCGGAACCCAGCACGGCGCTCCCGCGCTCCCCGTCCCTCCTGCTTTCTCTTGGAACCCCTCTGCACAGCGTTAGAAGTTTGGCCCAGGGCTTGTGTACAGCAGCAGTGCTTTTAATGAAGGGAAATGCAAGGAATTAATTTATGTATAATAAACTTACAGTAGAATAAATTAGGGGAAAAACATTGTCAAGTCTTTCTTTGCTATGGCTGATACCTAGGGATAGAAGTGCCCTGCTTGCTGCGGACTGTGCAGACTAGCAATGGGCTTAGACTGTTTGGGTCAGGGATGTGTATTTCAGAGGAAAGTGGCCTCCTCTTTCAGATCGCTGCTAGCAATTCCAGTGTTCAAAGTAAAGTCTGCCCGGCAAAAGTTGATTAGTCACAGGAATGCTGAGCAAAGGTACAGGATGTAGAGGATCGTGGCTTACATCCTAAGCACAGCAAGGGTCCTTGCGTTCTGCTCTTCGTTACAGAGGTGGGAATCCATATGCAAGTGTGAGCCTGGGAGAGCACCAGTCTTGTCTCTGAGAGCACTGTTTGCTTTATTGGGGTGAGGCAGTGGAACACAGCTGTCCTTTTGTGTTTGTGTGGAAACTGGTTGGCATTGTATAACACCAGGATATTCCTGTCTCAAGTCCTTAAGGTTAATGCACAGGACAGCCACCACCCTCTGTGCAGGCTGTTGGCTTTGGGGCAGAATTTAAAGCCATGTTATGCTTGTTCCTGGATTTGTTCTCAGGGAGGGTTCAAAGAAAGCAGAGCCAGGCTCTTTACAGTGGTGTCTGGTGAAACGATGAGAGGTTGTGAGCAGGAACTGTGAGACACAGCCGATTACCTTGATCATCAGGCAATACTTCCTCACTCTGTGGCTTACTGAGCACTGGCACAGGTTGTCCAGGTAGGTTGTGAAGCCTCTATCCTTGGAGATATGCAGATATGCCTGCACAGCTTCTGTCTGAGCAGGGAGCTTAGACCAGATGTCCTCCTAACTTTAGCCAGTCTGTGGTTCTTTGATAATATTCTCCTTGAGCCTTTTACTTGTTGTTCTTTACCAAATTTTCTCCAACTGTTTTCCACCTCTTGTTCTGGAGAGCACAGAACTGGACTCATTATTCCAGACGTGGCCTCACCAGTGCCCAACAGGGAGGAAGGATCACCTTCCTCCTGACAACATTGCTAATGCAGCCCAGAATTGCTGCTGCTGGCCTTTGCCATATGGGTGCATTGATGACTTAGGTCAGTTGTCCACTGCAATCCCCCACCTCTCTCTGCAGTACTGTGTTCCAGGGATGTGTTCTGAAGGATGCTATCCAGAGCAGAGGCCCACCTAGGCCCGTGTTTTCCCTGCTTCCTCTACACAGACAGCAAACCTGTTGCTGTTTATGGAATTGCAGAATCGTTTTTTGTTCCCCATTCACATCCCTTGCCATATTTGGCTGACCTGAGAATATAAATTAAAAATTAATTCAAAAACATGAATCTCTTTAGGTTACTAAAGTCCACATCCGTGCAAATAGCTGCAGACAGTTCCTCTGTTTGCATTTTTAAGGAGGCTGACTTTGTGCCAAACCCAACAAGGTTTATTAGCTTGAGTGCAGTGTCAGATTAATGTGGCCAATCTGGACAAAGGCCAAGGAATATTTTCTCAATCCAGGTATGTATGCTTGAAATTGTAATGCCTGTAGCAATGCAGATATGTGCTGAAGCCCATGCAGATGCCTGCATTCTGCTTCTTTTTCGTATTTCTAATACCGCTTTTAACAATTAATCTATTGGTTCTCTCAGTCCCAGCCACATATTTTGAGTTTGTGACTTTGAGAAGCTGTAGCCTAATGCTTAGTTGGAAGATCAGATCCATCCTCCTCAACTATTGGAGACAGTTAGAAAGAGGGATTCTTGTGCTTGGATGGCTGTTTTCTAAAATGCACCAGTGCAAGACAGCAGGTTTGGTTCCTCACTGGGGCATTATGGGAGTGATGGTTTACAAAACTATAAATACTTTATTATTCTTATAATGGATTCCAGACATTCCAGGTCTCTAAATGTGTATCTCATATTACCACCTTGGTGAGCAGTTGACGGTGTCTGAAGAAATCTCCCTAGCAGGAACTGTAAAGCTGTATTATTCTGGAATTCCATGCCTCAGTCGCACCCAGGGCCAGCTGAGAAGTGAACAAAGCACTCAGAGTGAAACACTTGTTTCACTGACTTTCGTGTTGTTGCAGAATATGAACAATCCTGGCATTCTGACTGTGCTTCTGGAGGAGTTGCATACCCTTGAGCTCTTTGCAGGAACCTGTCTGAGGCTTGGCCTCTTGCTGCATGCCTTTTTGGTACACTAAGTGCTGCTTGAGTATTTGATTCCATTGGCTGAATCAAATTGGCCATGCAGTGTGAGAAACCAAGGCATGTCTGCAAATCCATGTTCCCAAACAGAGCAGACTTGTCACTTCTCATGCTTATTGCAAATGACTGTCTAACAGTCCTGGAGTGTATTATGTAGGATGAAGGATGGGCTTATTTCTTTATTGTTGGATAATTTATTTCCTCCTCCTTTTTTTGTTCTTTTTCACTTCTCTCTCCATCAAAAGTCTTATTTCATGCAATCCGTCAGTACTCAAGAGATTAAAAGGAATGGCAAGAAAGACCTGTGTGTGACAGCCCTAGCTTGGAAACCTTACAACTGAATCGGCAGACCCATGAGCTCCTTGGAGCACAAAGCAGGTCGGTATTCACATGTTCTTTTCTGTTATTGATGCTTTAATGTGCATTGTCATGTTTTCTACTTCTGCAAAATCAGGTGAATGCTACAGAAAAGTAATGCATTGCTCTTGTCCACTGTTAATATTTTCACACATTTAAGTGGCAATCTACAACCAAAGATTTGCTTAATAAGACAAAAGAGGTCAGGTGTGGACCTGATTTCTCTGAGCCTGAGAGAATTACAGCCTGTCAGTGGCTGATCTGTTCCCAAGGGAAAAGTCTCTTGAGAGCTCTCTCACTCAAGATCTATCTCTGTAAACAATTTCACTTTCTCAAAACAGTTGTGTACAACTGTAGATAGTGTGTTTTTCTGTTTTCCCACCAATGGGACAAGAGGTGCTGTTATCTTTACCGATCATGTTAAACCTGTAGCGTAAGACCCTATAAAAGCTGAAAAGGTTGGGGAATAAAGGCCTTTTCCTAGCAACTCGTTCTGGTGTGTGCTGTGAATGAATCCACGCTTCTACATCATGTCCAACATTGACAGTCAGGAATGAGTGGATCTGTGTAGCCAGCTTCAGGAGCCTGCTTCTAGGGAGGCAGAGACATCTTATCATATTAAAAGATTGCATTTGATGGAGATAATTTTAATAATGTAAACTTGATCTTACAACTAACGTGAGTTTGCCTAGTTTCAGCTTGCAATACTGCAGCTTCTTTTTGCCACTTACAGGCATGAGTAGTTGTGTGGCCTTTCTGTTCAGAGATGTCAAATGTCACATGTGACCTCTTTTTATAGAACACTAGAATGACGATTCTGTGATTCTTAAGGGGCTTTGGGAGTTCAGTTAGTCAAATTCTTCACTCTTAGCATGTCTAAATAAAAAATCAGATCAGTTTACTATGAGCCTAATACAGTACTTTACCATCTTTACCATCATTCTTTGTGCATTTTTTTCTCTGATTGAAATTGCTTATGCTTCAACTTATGTCCTCTGCCTCTTGTGCATTTGATGTGGATCTTGTAAGAGGTGTGTGACTCCAGCTACATTGTGTGTGGTTGTAGGGAGGACAGCAGTTGCATCCCACTCCTCACCTGCTGTTCTCAGGGCTGAGCAAGCCCAGCATTCTTACACTCTCCATATGCCTTGTAAACGCAAACCCCAGTCATCCTGGGGGCTCTCTGCTATACTTGATTCACTATTTAGAAAGTGGGCACTCTACTTCAAATGTAGTCTTATAGGTGTGAATAGAGAGGGAAAACTGCTTTCCTCAACCTGCTACCTGCAGTCCTATCAATACAGCTCAGTGTACACCTGACCTTTGCTGTGAGCGCACTGGTGACTTGTGCCAAGCTTGGCCACCAGCACTTGGAGCTTGTATTCTGCCACACAGTTGCACAGCGGGTTGCTCCTCAGCCTGTACCACTCATGCTTTTCCCATTCCAGGCATAGGCTTCTGCCTTTCCTGAACTTCATGATGTTTCTATCCATCTGTTTCTCCAGCCTGTTTTTATCCTCCTGGTTGGCATCTCTGTACTTTGGCTTATCAAAGGCTCATTTGAATTTGGTGAATTTAGTGAGGTGGAGTGCATCCCATCGTCTCCGTTAATAATGGAGAATTTAATTTTCTGCTCTCCCCAAAATTACAAGTTTTATTTTGCTAGCTAGTACAGCTGCATGTTTTTAGGTTCTTCATTTCCACTTACTGGATTAGTTTGGCTCCTGAATTTCAAGGAAAGGAAAGAAGGTATGCTAAGCAGCAGCCAGGAAATGTAGGTCCTCTCCAGACTACTGCTTTATGTTGAGGTCCTATCCTGGATGTGACATACAGAGGTCTCGTGATCTCTTCAGTGTGACACACTTGTATCTGTTTAGCAAACATCAAGGCTCAGTCCATTTTTTCCACTACTTATTAGCAGAAATATGATTTTATGTTACAGGCTATGTTTGGCCTGTAGAGAAATTACTTCATTTAACAATCACCCTTCTTTTCAGTAAACTGAACAGATCATGGTTCTGTTATGTCATTGTTAGTGACATTACAAGAATGCTGTGAGGATCATTTAGCATCTGCTATAAAAATGTATTTTTCAAGCATACATGTAGAGCAGTGAAGGAATCTTCATGTGTCTTGACACCAGTATGTCCTCTGCTTTAGTGTTCAGAGGGTCCGGCTGCTCTTGTTAATGTGACCATTTCTTTTTTCCTGAGGTTTTCTTCGGCTTTTCCCTCTTGGCAAAGGAGACAAATTCCCTACAAGCCTGGTCACCAGCTGCTGTAACATTAGAGATCAGCATAAGGGAGCTTATTCTTCATAGCAGTTTTGACTCTGGAACTTTATTCTGACTCTTGGTTTTGTTTTAGGCTCAAGATGCTGAGCCGTTTGTCAGGTTTAGCAGCTGCTGTTTTACAAGAGCGGTCTGGGGAGGATGGAGATGCAGTTACTGAACCATCTATTGCTGTAAGTACAGTGTTATCTAAAGACTTTCAGATCTTATTGACAATTAGTTTGGGGAGCATGTTTTATTAGACTGCAGTGACAACTGTCTCCTGCTTCATCCTTGTTGAGCACTAGATTGAGTTGTCATTCTACTCTGCTTTTCTTCAACTCCTCACCTCTTAAGTCAGCATTTCTGTTGTGTAGACCATAATCTCCTCAGTTTTCACATCTGAAGGTGATCCTAGGAAAAAAACTAGAATTAGGATGAAGAAAGACTTTAAAAAGTACTAGTGATTGTGTGTAGCAGAAGGGGAAGCTCTGCATGGTTAGGTGACAAGTGGGAGGCTTCACCTCTGTGCTGCCCTTCAGTATTGAGACAGTGGATAGTGTGTGACGGAGCCTCTCATTTCAGATTTGTTCATGTGGTGTTCAGCGAGTTACTCTTTGTGTGTTGGCTTACAAGTTCTCTGAGCTTTCCTCATGGTTCATCTTAACTGTATATTTCTACATATTGCTCCATGAAATGCCTGCAGGGAGCAGAGTGCAACATTGAGGACTGGAGCTGAAGATACCATGTGGATGCTCCGCTGCAGTCTGTTTATATTTTTTTTTCCTTCAGAACACTCATTTTATTGTTTCAGGTAGAAGCTGTGCAGTCAGAAGCAGAAAGCATGGAGGAGGCACCTGAAGAGCTGTTGGAGCGCCTAGCTCAAGCAGAAAAGCTAGTTGTTCAGCTGAAGGATTTGATTCGAGAAAAGGATGCCCTGCTCCAGGAAAAAGAAACTGTATTCAAGGTACCATTTCTTTCCCTGGGGATCAAGAATAAAATGCTGCTTCAGTTTTCAGTGCAAACCAGTCTCTGTTTTTTTTTGAACGTGAGATACCTGCATGATGAATGGCATCAGTTCCAGAGAATTATTGGAATTTGAAGAATGGACCCTAGCCCAAGAGATGTAGGCTGTCTTCTGTTAGTTTGATTGGGTTAATTTAGTCTAGAGTAGATAATCCAAGTTGCACAGCATTTTGACTCAGAGCTCTTTGAGGCCCTGTGATTCCCTGTGTCTCTAATAAGTACTAATACCTTGTGTGAAGTTTTTCTTTCCCCCCTTCAGAGTGTTCGACACCAAGTGTCCTCCGCTTGGACAGGAGCGCTCTGTGCTGGGTTAGGAACTGGCTGGATGGCCGGGCCCAGAGAGGGGTGGTGAGCGGTGCTGCATCCAGCTGAGGGCCAGTCACCAGTGGTGTCCCTCAGCGGTCTGTGCTGGGGCCAATCCTCTTCAATATTTTTATTGATGCCATGGATGAGGGCATTGAGTCCTTCATTAGTATATTTGCTGATGACACTATCTGGGAGCGTGTGCTGATCTGTTGAAAGGTAGGAGGGCTCTGCAGAGAGACCTGGAACGTTTAGATGAATGGACAAAGTCCAGTGGGATGAAATTTATTAAGTCCAAGTGCTGAGTCCTGCATTTTGGTCAGAATAACCCCCTGCAGCACTACAGGCTGGGGATGGTGTGGCTGGACAGTGCCAGGCAGAAAGGGACCTGGGGGTGCTGGTCGACAGCCGGCTGAACATGAACCAGCAGAGTGCCCTGGTGGCCAAGAAGGCCAAGGGCATCCTGGCCTGTATAAAGAATAGTGTGGCCAGCAGAAGCAGGGAGGTCATTCTCCCCCTGTACTCAGCACTGGTGAGGCCACACCTCAAGTGCTGTGTCCAGTTCTGGGCCCCTCAGTCCAGGAAGGATGTTGAGACTCTTGAGTGTGTCCAGAGGAGGGCAACAAGGCTGGTGAGGGGCTTAGAACACAAGCCTTATGAAGAATGGCTGAGGGAGCTGGGGTTGTTCAGCCTGGAGAAAAGGAGACTCAGAGGTGACCTTTTCACTCTCAGTGAGGGTCTGTCTCATTCACCAGACAGCAACTGATAGAACGAGAAGACACGGTCTCATGTTGCACCAAGGGAAATTTAGGTTGGATGTTAGGAAAAGGTTCTTCACAGAAAGAGTAATAAAATACTGGAATGATCTGCCTGGGGAGGTGGTGGAGTCACCATCCCTGGATGTGTTTAAAAAAAGACTGGATATGGCACTCAGTGCCATATTTTAGTTGAGGTATTAGGGCATCGGTTAGACTCAATCTTGAAGGTCTCTTCCAACCTAATGATTCTGTGCGTAGCTTGTGCTGCACTCATCCACTAGTCCAGTGGTTTTATGACACATTCCCAACATGCTGCCTACCGTGAGGTATGGTGGGAGTGCAATTACTTGCGATAGTTCTGAGGGACTGCATATAGCAGAGGAAGTCAAACTGAGTTTGTATTCACTGCTGGGTGAAGTCCCTGAGTGCTCTGTCCCTTGAAGGAAGTGCTGGGGTAGAAGCTACCATTTTAGCATGTGTAGTGTTTCAGAACAAATTTGGTTTGCAGATGTGTTTTAAATAGTGCGGTTGCTGGGGAGGCAGGGGTAAACAGAATATGGTAGACTGGCAAGCTGTGTAGCTTTTTCAGAGTGGTGCTTCTTGGGTAACAGCACTGGAATCTGAGGTGCAGTCAGTTTGTATCCTTCTCTTACAGAAGGAGCGAGAGGCCGCAGATGCGAAGCTGATGAAACTTAAACTTCAAGCCAAAGCCAAGCTGGCTTCTCTGAACAAACGCATCGAGGAGCTGACAGAAAAAGGATCACCACTGCCTATACAGGCCTTAGCAGAAGAGCTGGAGTATCCCAAGGTTGGGTAAACAGGGCTGTTTAAAAGATGTAGCTTGTACTGATAACCTGATACTGCCTGATGTTTCAGGTCACAGTGACCTAGCAGGGCCTATTTGTCTTATCGGCAGAATATTCATACTTCTGGCAAGGATGTCTATGCCTGTGCTGTAGCAAGCCTGTCTGTCCAGCCTCCTTGTACTGCAGATGCCCTTGGAGTGCTCAACTTGATCTCCTCAATGGGCTAGTTTCCCTTTGCAAAACTTCAGTAATCCATTGTAGCCAAACTCTTTCCTGCAGAAACTGTGTGTCTACCTGAGCTATGAGTTTCAAAATGTTACCTGTCATGTCAGTACAGTAAAGGTTGGCTGGAGTACAAGAACAAAGAGGTAAGGTCATTGAAACTGGAAGGCAGTAACTTAAATATAAAAAAATAAATATATATTTTTTCCAGTCATGTAGCTTCATTAGCCATCGTAATGTTTTAGGGTTGAGAAACCATAATTGTGTAATGCTAGGTAAAAACTGAGGGAAAGTGTCCTCCACAAAGACATTAAAGAGGCTGTTAGCTACTAACTGGAAGCTCAGATTAGAGCTGGTAATTTTTAAAAACTTGACTATGTGATCAGCAGAACAATGTTTTCTTTAAAAAGTTGGCATTATTATGGAAAAGAAATGGGATGGAAGTCCAGAATGGTTTCCAGACATCAGATGATGTTCATTAAATTAGAGAACATAAAGGTCATTTCAGACATTGAAAAAAATACTAAAATATTTTAGGAAGCAATAAAAGGTGCTTGTGAGAGCTGTCAGATGAGAGGTGACTACTAGTGATGTGAAGATCAGTTCTATGACTTGTGCTAACTATTTTTGATGGAGCATCATAAAATCATAGAAATGTGCTTCTGTAATTCCCAATGCCAACTTGAGAATCTTCCTCAGTGCAAAGCACCATCTGGTTTCATACATGAAGAATTGGATGATCTCAAGGACTGACATAATAGAAGAATAAAGCAAAATTTAACCAGTGCACGATCAAGCATTTCTGGTGTCATGACACTGCATACTGCAAGGTCATGAACAGCATTCCCTGTCTGCAGGGGCAGTGGAGACCATGGAGGCTGTTTGGCTGTGTTACTTGACATTTCTGTCCTGGTGCTGAGGCTCTTTTTTAGCTTATCTATATGCAGCATGTGTGTGTAACATCTGTGTGCTGTTGCATGACTTTGTGTAGACTTGCTGTTGAGGACTGGTGAGTGTCCTTGCTTCAAAATTCAAATTTATCAGTTGAAGAAGGCAAAATGAGAGAAAGCTGGTCATCAGTTGATTGATGCAGTATAGATTTTAAAAAGAGGCCTTATCTTTTTTACATACCATTTTAGCTGTTCTAGTGAGAGTGGCAAGGCCTTGTGAGGAGTGTTGTCATGTTCTGCTCACTTGGAATCAGGAAAGATAAATTCTGAGAGCAGCCAGAGACTTTCTTTCTGTTCTCCCATCATGTTAGCAGCTGCTAACTTGGGAGTCACTCAAACAGCTTGGTTATTTAATCAACCAAAGTAAGTTCTTTCTGCAGTTGTATGAGGAAGGTGAGCATCAAGAAAGTGGGCAAACTGTTAAAGAATAATGCAGGTGAATGGATAAAAGTAAATTAGCCATTAAGAAAAATGGACTTCTAATTAGAGGAATGCGGGCTTGAGACAGTCTCTGGCAGACATGGTATGGACCACATCCTTATTTGGTTTGGGTTAGAACACAGTTTGAGTGAAATTATGTTAGGGCAGTTACCTGCAATATTATGTATTTGACCCAGAAAACACTAACTTTTTCTTGCAAGGTTAGACCTACCGAGAAGATAGAGAGTCCTTTATTTACACTTATTTCCCCAAGTAGATGCTGTCTTGACTAATGGGAGTATTTCCTAGACAGGTACCCTGCCATTTGAAGGTGAAAATTCTAGGTGAGAGTTGCGTGTTGTGCTGAAGTATTGAATATTAGCAAAGGGCTGAGTTTTTTTCTTCTCTATGATGTGGGCCCTGTGGGAAGGCTATATTTTAAATATCTAATTAGTACTATTACTTCCTGGGCTTTTAGCAGAGTGCCTTATTTTGAGAGTAGTGGAAGTATCAGCTTAGCTCTTTCTATCAAATTTGTGTACAGAGCAATTGAGGCCCCTCTCAAACTTTTGAAGTGGGTGAAGATAAATTATGTTCAGATGTAAGAGCTTATTCATTTTGGAAAAACATAATATTTAAAAGCTTGAGCTCTTTGTGGCTGTGCTGCTGTCCTTAATTGTGGCACTCCGTGTAATGGTCAGTGTAAGAGGCTTTTCCAAATCAGACTGTAAATATCAATCCTGAAAGCTAATTACAAGTAAGCAAACTAATCCACCCATCTTCCCCTCTAGCAACTCCTCTGCCCCAGTCTTATAAGTTATGTATATCCCTGGCTTCTTAGAGCTTCCTGCATTTCTGTTCTTTATTTTTCTGTCCTGTTCTATTTCTAAATTTAAGTGCAGTTGAAGCTTCCTTGTCTGTCTGTTCTGCCTCCTGCCAATGACCTTCTCTGTAGGTGAAACATCTTTTGAAGAACGGTAGCCTCTTATTCTTATTACACTGATTTATACGTACTTTTAAAAGCCTTTGTAGTATTTTCAGAATGAGTTTATAGATATAAATACTCTGTAGAATTCCTGTGTTATTGATGGTATTTGACCCAATACCTGCCACAAATGAAATGGAAGAGATGTGTTTTATATATGTTCAGTACAAAATAGCCAGCACTGAGTGCTTATAGTGGCTGGAGGTGCTGAGCGGAGAATGTAGAGCAGGTTTTGTCTGCTCAGAGGTGGGTGGTGAGGGACCTGTCCTCGCCCAGGAGCGAAGCACAGCTGTGAGTTCAGGGGCCTGCCCTCACCCAGCTGGGAAGACAGAGAGAAGAGTGCAGATATAGTGTGCTGGGTTGTTTGACTAGACACAGCCTAAGCATGTTTTATGTGAAATATTGTTTATGTTTCTTGGTCATAAACAGAGGATGTAAGTGCTTCAGAGTGGAGTAGAACTGATAATTATTCGCCTGTTCCCTTTGTTTGTATCTAATAAGTTCATTGCTATGAATCCTGTAGTCTGAAGAGATTTCCATGGGCGTTTTCTGTCATCTAGAATGTCTACCCGTTTGTCACATAGAGAATATCCTTCCATAGCTAATTTAAAAATGTTTTTATTTCTGGTATTAGGAGAAGTTTGTGATATTAAAAAACCTCATAGTAGTCATATAATAAGTAATGTATTTAAAATGTATAATATATAATATAATACTTATAAGTAATATAAAATGTATTTAAAAATCTAATTTGCCTTAGTTTATATAGTGAGCAGTCATGACTGTTAGCCCTTCCAAGTGCTTTGGCGCTTCCCAATTAAAGGCATCTTGCGTATATCTACACAGAAATAGGGAAAATAATTACTTAACATAGGATAACTTAATTTAAAGTAACAAAAGAAATGTGAAGTTAAGAAATGAAGCAATGTAGTAAAAATAAGCATCTGATTAGGAGTCAACAGTGAAGTAGCATTTTAGTGGTTTTTTTTAAAATTAATTAATTAATTTTTTAAACCAGTAATACGGATAAATTTACTTTCTTTTATTTCTCTTCTTCCCATTTTTTCCTCTTGCAGTGTCAGAAAAACGAAAATAGAAGTGAAGGGCACAGAGAGGAAGTGGAAGTACTGAAAGAGCAGCTCAGGGAGCAAGAGGAGACTGTTCAGGACCTGAAGAAACAGCTGGCTGTAGCTAAAGTTAATCTGAGAGATGCTGAAATCAAGTATGCAACACAGGTACAGAATCATTTTTTTTTTCTGTTCATCAGTCTGTGTTTCCCACCTCACAGCTTAGACTAGTATGATAGAACAATGCTTACACAGCTGGTCTTCAATTCCCTTACCTCAGTTTTTTTCAGTTTTGTTCCTCTTCAAATCACCTAGGTCCATAAATTTCACTGCCTTTGGCTCTTCCTCTAAGCATTACGTTAGTCTTTCACAGTCCCCAGATTATCTTCTCCTGACCCCCATTCTTGCCCCCAGGCCAGAACCACCCTTGGTGGAAAAGGTGCCCTGCAGGTAAGGGATGGGATTCACCCTTGGGCAATGGGACCAATGGATCTCTGAGGAGGGGGGAATCAGTCCCTGGAAGGGCCTGGGTAGGGTGTCCCTTCCTCTGAGTAAGAATTTGGGTTCTTCCCTGTCTGCCCTTGCTATTCTGTGATGAGCTTTGCTGGGACAGAGTGTTCTTTCAGCTGCCAGGCCTGCCATTGCCTCTCTGTGTTCTGCTGCGGGTGTGCAGGACAGCTGCTTATCACAGGATGTAACAGCTTTAATTTTACATTGTAGTCATTTGTGGAAAGTTTTTTTAATACTCTAAATTGCAGATTTAGCTTTTGAACTGTGAATTGGGCTGCAATCCTATACAGTTAAAAGCCCAGAAGTTTTATGAACTGTTAATTATATAGTGATCATATATTTTATTATTCTGCATATTTGTATATTAAATTCTATGCTTTTTTGCTTTCTGGGACCTGAAATATTATCAGTTGTTATACACATATTAGTAGGATAAAGACACCAGGTAAAAATACCATTTGACCAAGATGATGTATAGGATTGTCAAGCTGAAAACTCCCATCACACGCACAATATGCTGGTGCATGTTGAAAGCAAGCCTGTGTGTCTGCCAGGTTCATAACCTTGTTGGCTTGTTTTTGTTTTGTGGCTTATCTTTTCAGCTGGGTTCCCTGCAGGAAGTGATTCAGGAGAAGGAAGCTCTCCTGGAGGAGCATGTGCACCAGCATCAAGCTGAATTGCGCAAGATGGTGGTCCAGTCAGATATGGAAGTAGAGATGCAACAGGTATATTTGAGATAATAATCATATCATGGGAGGAGGAAGGAAAAGGACTTTTACCAGAAGACACCCTGAAAGAACAGTTCTCGTTAAAGTAACTGAGAAGGGATAAGAAGAAAGATGCTTTGGTTGTTTGGAGTTTTTTGGAATGCTAGCTGGGACTTTGATTCCTAGCTTCAGTCTGCTGGTTTGCTATCAGTCAAAGAGAAAGAACAGTTGAAAAAAAGTGTTATATTATTGTGCTTCGGTTCCCTATTCATGAAGCAAAGTAAGTTCCTCCTACTGCACCAAGGCTCCAGAATAGGTGTCAACAAAAACGAATTAATTCATGCTATCAAAGTAGCTGTGTTACAAAAATGAGGTGTTTTGATGAAACCTGGGAATCTAAACTTATATTGGTCTCCCCAATGCTGGAATAGCCTTGTCTCTCTCACAGAGCCTGCACACACTCCAGAGAAAGCTTGAGGAGCAGGAAGCAGCTCTCTTAGGACGAACTCAGGTGGTGGAACTGCTGCAGCAGGAGTTACACACTGCTGAAAAACAAAACCAGGTACCTGGTCTGCCTTTTATTGCTTCATTCTGTGTGTGTGGGGGTGGGGGG